TTTGGTTAAGGAAGTTGAAATAACCTCCAAATTCTGAGTTATTAACATTTATATCTAGAACATATTTGTGCTTAATAAAGTAGTTACGGATAATAACTATTGTATATAATACATTATCAAAATAAACATAATTTTGAAACCAAACGAGAGTAGAATTAAAATAAAAAAAATATGTTGACATGAAAAACTGTATGAACGGATGACTAATAAATTATTTTTAAGACAAAGCTGTTGCTTTTTTTGTAAATTAAAAATATCTGACTTCATCGAAAATAAAAAAATTACCTGGTGTAAAATTAAAATTTCTAATTAGTACTTCATTTGTGTCCACTTTACATAGCTGTCCCTCTTCAGCACAGTCCAGTAATTTGACCAGCTGCTGTTTTTTAACAGCCCCATCTAAAAAAATAAATAAATATTGTTGTAGTCACAAGATTCTATATAAATTTATTCTAATTCATCATTCATACCTGAGATTTCTACTCATGCCTAATTTCTTGTGTGATTTTTGTTGCCTTCTTTTCTAATACAAATATTTAGAACAAAATTTTTATTCGAGAGAAGTTAGTTAACAATATATATAAAAAACACTCTCCGATGGACGCCAAATTAGGATTCTATGCAAAAGTATAACCAAAAATTGTCAAGGGGTTTATGTTTTCTCGTGTTTTGTGTATTTTTTCAAAAAAAAAAAATCAGAAAAGACTAATCGGTTTTCTAGTTTATTTAAAAGTAAGTAATCGTCAAATTTTGTAGGAAATTTTATTTTTTTCCCTAAGCTTGATTTTTAAAAATCATGATATGCATAAATAGCCGCATAGTCTGCTTAGGGGTTTCGGCGCTTAGTTGTCTAATAAAATTACCAAAAGGTACAAACTTCCATCAAATGATAGACTTACATATATCTACAAGTATTTATTATGTTTTTTAAACTTACTTAAACCACATTTGTGCTCTGAATAGCCATACGGAGTCAACAGCAAAATGATAAGCCCACCAAGAAGCATTGTTACGTGATGTGAGGTTTACACTGTGGTTGTCGGTTCCAGCGCTATATTTATATTACTTCGTAATTATATAGTGATACAAAAACATAAAACATACAATTGGCAACTAGTCGTTAAGTAAAGTGTCAGGATACATGTGTAAGTATGAACTTTCTCATTGTAATCATTTGGTGCATATACAGTGTGCCTGCAAATGTTTCTTCGTCGAGTTATGCAAAAGTTATGAAAAGTATCGTTATTAAAATGTGTTACTTTGTAAAAGCAATGAATGCCTTTATTAAAATCTGAATTACTGGTTGTCTGCCTCGTAAGCGCCATTTATTATAGCTAATTATGTTATTAAAGTGTTTTTTAAACAGGATTAATTAGAAAACGAACAGCTTTTAACTATCGGGTTTCTTTAAATCTCTAATATAGTTGGCTTATGTTAGCTGTGCTGATGACGTATGCATCATGACCAATCAAAGCAGAAATTAAAAAAATATATCACGCTACCTAGCTGTAGCACACACGTTAAATTTAGTACTTTTCATTATCGAAGTACTTATACATGCTCACACTTAATCCATATAAAAGAAAAGTGATTGGGACCAGGCTTAGTAATGAAAACAAAAACGATCAACCAATATCTATTTCTAATAATGACAATAATAACGCAACAAAAATAAAATATAAAGCTTTTTTTTTTAATTTCCATCTTTACCCACAAACTGAATCGACATGTACTCGTATTTGTGAATACGAATGGTGAATTGGTGCACTGACATCTTATGTGGCACCTGATATCTACTGAAAACGAAATAAAATGTTTATATATTTTGTTAAAATAAACGACGTTATTGGCCAATGACTTTATTAACGATTATATTTTATATTTGGTTGAATTAATGTGTAATATGTATCTTTTCCTGTTAATTCCAGTAATGGTGGAGGTGCCGGGCTACAATTCAATTTTTAAAAGAGTAATTTTATTTATCAGCTTGTATAATTGAAAATATCCGATCTATTGTTGTAACGACTCATACAGCTTAGCATCAGTGCACTTAAAAAATTCGATTAGCTTAATCTATAGTATTAATTAATATTAATTCATACTGAACTCTACTTCAAATGTGTAATTTTATACCACCATATCGTATAACTCCAAACAATCAGACAACTATTTTAGAATTATTTCATTTGTTTATCGAGATTTCGTATTGTGGTGTTCCAGTTCGAATTAAAACTTTGCGCTGAAATTTGAATTTGAAAAATAAATTAAAAATATCGTTAAACATAGGCAACCATGTACGGCAGAATTAATTATTAGTGTTTCCCTAACCTGAAATGTGTGAAATTTTGATGATGTCGTCAGCACGTTGTGTTATTTTTGTTTGACTGTTTGTAAATTCACTGTTCATGTTAAGATTTTTAACTGTTCGTAGTTCTAACACAACTTAAGAGTCATGAAATTGTTTATATCGTTACAATTTTCGGGTATTAAAAATCGGCAAGGGTAAAATTCAACAATTTCTCTAACTACTAAACGATTATAATTCCGACTCAAGTTAGACTCTAATATTCATCTGTTGGCTGGAATAGTTAGACTATACTTTCCTCATTGACTAGATTTCACTTCTTGCTTTAGACAGTGATCCCTATTTAAAATAATTTTGTGTTCCTCTGGATGGAGGCTTTTGTGGAGCCTGCCATCGGTACTTCCGGCAACCCGCTCCAAGCTTTTCTTTATGCGAACGCCGCCTGGTCACCGGTACCGATAATGAGTCATGGCCGTACAACATATTATAGTTTTGGAAATTTCATTCTACCCTATAAAATTTTAATAACGACGGACAGGAGTTCAACAGCAAGATATATTTACAACTTAAAGTTCTCGCGTGCCGGTAATCCCCAGATGTTAGAAAGCAGAATAATCCAGGTTCGAACAGGGACCATCGTTACTCACGAACGAAAATGACCATTATTTCATGAGTACAACTACCTGCTAAATGTTCTCCCGCAAATTCGGGTGAACTGGTGTGATCCATAAATATTTCTTTCCATTGTACTGGTGTCCGTTCCGTTATTATCAATAAAATTGTATAGGGTAGAATGAAATTTCCAAAACTATAGGAAGCCCCCGAAAAAAACCATAGGCGTTGTACCGGTGATTTACTTCGTAACACGTGTTAGGAAATTCAGTTATTCCGGCTTTATTTTATTGTTATACCAACTTATAACTAAAGTTATGTATGTTTTTACTTAAGTATTACATTGTAATACACCCCTTAACTGCCCACTCGAGATTGATAATAAAGTACCTAACCAAATCTGGGCATTGTACCCAAGATGGACACCCGTAAGTAAAGAACTATCATATTATTTTTGGGTATTTTATTTTTTAAAGCAGACGACTGTAATCAAAATTTCAAATTATTACACTATAAATGGTGCTGTGGTTAGTGGATTGGCTGCAAGGGATAAAATACCTAATTTGAATAATTAACTCCTTTTGTTGTTAAAAATCTTACTTTATACTGAATTATCTAAATGTTGATTCATTCTAAAGAAAGGATCTTGAAAATTTGTGGTTAAATTAATACCCTTGTGGTGGACTCAAAAAACGGTCTAATAATTTTCTTGCGGCTTGAATTTGAACATTTCTCCTCAAAGTACCTTGAGTGTTTTCGAGACCAGTTTATTGTGATTTTGATGGTATTGAATGCTTTTTTTGTGATTTGGAAATTGGGTCCACGAGGAAATCTACGAATGCATTTTGATTTAATCAGTAACTCAAACTGACACATAATTTAATCTCATGTAAATTTTTTGTTGGTTGAAATTCTTGAGTGTGGGGTAATTAGTTTAAGTAATTTGATTCACAATCAGTCAGTAACATACAACTTTTCTGACCTCTGAAACGTTAGAAAGTCAGCGATTCCACGATAAATTTTTCAACGAGTCGGAAAAGTCTGAAAGCGGTCAGCAATGACGCGTAAGCGGTCAGAAATGACCTACTTTCTGCGCCACTGTCGACTTGAACTTTGAATGTCAAATTGTCAAAGTCATGATTATGTTGACACGTGAATGACATAATTGACATATACCATGGTTAAAAGTTTTGTGCGACTTTTTGTCACGGCTGATGGTTAATTTTTCCATCAGATATTTTATTTGTTAAAAAAACTCAGAAAATGCAAATTTGCTTACAAATTTGGTGTGATTTTTATTAACTAATTTAACAAAATGTCAAGATTTTCCTAGATTATTTGCTTCATACTAATAAATTTAGTCTACAGAGGAATGGTATATCAAGAATGTGTACCTGAGTGAATAATGAGCAGAAAACTTGAATATTTTTAATATGATTACACTGCTGAAAAAGCTTAACGAAAGTTGCACTTTTATCAATATATACTTACCTTAAACTTTCTTTATTATCATAATCTTCGTTGTTTATTTGTTACTGTAAATTTAATAGATAATGAAGCAAAATATATATTTTTTAAACAACATATTAAGTTGTTTACCTATAAAATAATTATAATGGGTTTTGTGAATCATAAATGGATACCTTTTGTTTTCAAACAAATGGTTTTATCAACATGCATTACCTTAAAACAAAGCAGATACCGACACAACTTTTTTTGATAAGCTGATACTTTGTATTGTTGATATTTTCATATCCAAGTTTCCTTTATGTTAAGTATTATTTCAGAAAATTGTATTCAGAAAAATCGCCAGTTGTGTGGAAACTGTCAAAATGATTTCACAATATAGTTAACTCGTGAAATGTAGAATTTGTTGATCAAAATTTCAATAAAATCTTCCACTTTTAGTTTTCAAGCAACTACATATTAAAATTCAGTGATTGTTCAAAGAAAAAGTCTCACTTACCTTTCATCACGAAAACCTGACAGCACGAGTCATCGAAAAAGGGATCAACTACAGCAGCATAAAACTTTTATTTATGACAGATATGTTTAATAACGATAACAGTTTTACAGTCATAATTAAAACGTTATACATCTGCTAAATTACAATATAAATGTATACTACCTACATAATTAATTCTGACACGACTTACTTATGTAGAAAGTAATATTCCTCGAAATAATCCTTGAGTAACAAGCAACTCGATAGAAATTTTTTCACGCTTTCGTCACAACTAAAAGCCGATCAATAATACAAATTGTCATAACAAAAGCACAATATCAATAAAATATCGCGACCTACAAAAGGCATAAATAAACTTCACGGGGGTCATTTCATAATACTCTTTGAGCAATGTATTACATACACGTACTAACAAAAGCAATTCTCTTAGATCGTCAACTGCATTTGTGAGAGTGCTTCAGCTTAGAAACTTGTTATTAGTATCGCTATCGGCTATCAAATTAAGCATACACTAAAGCAGACTCTTCCCTTATTACACTGAAGGCATTTCTGTTTGATAATCCTGTATCAAAAATCTAAAATGAAAATAACCTGCACAGAAAACGTCGGTTCGTTACTAGGAACAAGTTTTCAAAGAAATCGGTACTGAAGTCGGCGTGATGCACTATAGCGTTTCAAATGTGCCCGCTGATCTAAGTTTCAATTACTGGAATGAAAAAGTCTGACACGGTGAGGTTAAAGTCCAGGGATGACCTCGGACTAGTTTGTACTTGATTTGGAAAGGTAACGAAAACCCAATGAAAACTTGTGTTTAGATCATCACTAGACCCACTAGAACTAGCGAAGAAGTCTCGTGTTAGAATATGAATATTTAGAAATCTTACCACCATCTACAACCTTTATGACTCCATCTACTCTCCTAATTTTACTCTAACTACCATCTAAACAGGCGTTCCAAAATCTGGGTCCCCTACACCATCCGCATTTATCGAATTCGCGTTATACACATACCTCGCTAAAAGTTTTTCTTTTCTTTGTTCGTTCTCTACTTGCTCGGTATAGTCTTCGTTCGGGCAAAGCCTCAACGCTTTACCAACTCGCAAATTCTGTCCGTGCAAACTAAAATACTTCTTCGTACCAATAGGTTTACTCAGAGAAATACTCGAAACGTTCCCTTCAGACACGAAGCTCTTGACGAAGATATCCGAAAGGATGTTGTGGATGTTCTCCTCAAACTGGGGACTCGTGTCCGAGTAAACAGCGCTATTCTTAAAAGTCGCCTCTTTCTCTTTCGCTTCACCTTTATTGTCAGTTTTATTACTTTTGTTTTCTAGAAACTCGTCCCCGAACTCCGACGCAGTGCTCGAAATGTCAGAGTACCCATCGTGCTTGTTGAAAATACTCTGAAGCGTCTTCACCCCGAAGTACTTCTTCTTGTGCTTCCTCTGCACCTTCTTGTAGTCCCGGTTGCTGTTCTTGTGCACCGGCGAGCTCCCGCAGCTCTCGCCCGAATTCAACAGACTCTGGTCACTCTTCGGGTTCGACAGCGACTCGTTCGAGGTATAAACCTGGGGCTTCAAACCAAAAGTATTCGGTTCCTGGTACCCGAACCCGCTCTTGGTGGCGCTCTCCACCTGCACGTTCTTCGGCGACTGCGAGTCGTTGGAAGCCACGTCCGTGGACAGCAACTCCGAGTCCAGAAACACGTCCGCACTCGTCTGCATCGGGGACGAGAAATTCTCCGAGTTGAGCGAATTGGTGGAGCAGTTGAAGTTCTCGTCGTCTATGATATCCACCTTCTTGAAGTCCTCCAGCTTGATGACGTTGTTGGTCGCGTTGTCGAACAGCACCAAGTCCGTGGTTTCGATCTGGTTCCTGTTGATTTCGGTTTCGGTTTCATTGGTGTTGCAGTTCAAGTCGTCGGCGATTTGGATGTCTTTGGCTGGCGTGGCCTTGTACACTTCCACGTTGCCGTTGGTGTTGAGGTTGTAGTTGAAGATGTCGGTGTCGAAGTCTTCGGTTTCTTCCAAGACGATCAGTTTTTGGACTTTGGGGATTTCGGGGCTGTTGGGAGCGCTATTTCTTGAGACTATCCTGAAATTATCTCCGAGATTATAAACTGAGGAGTGGGAGGTTTAGCATGCGAGTGAAGCCGTGCAGAACGGGTGGTCTTTGGTGAGTGAGGACTTCATGCCGGTATGGGAACGGGTGAGTCCACTAGATGGCGAGATGATGGAAAATGCGGCCTGATGAAGGAAGTCCTTTAACTAAGTCAAGTTTAACTATACTACTTGTTTAAACATGGCGTCGGACTATTCTTAGTGTAACTAGAGAAGGTACAGTACACAGTGTTGCAACATATTCAGTAAAACTTAAACCGATGCTATTATGGTCCCTAAAAGTAGTAAGCTGGAACTGCTGCACTGGTCTAAAATTATAATGGTTACCAGCCAAGTGGCTAGTGGTTTACGTATCATTTATACAAGTAAATCATAAAAATTTAAAAGTGCTGATCAAAGCGAAGTGTCCTTGTTATTCTTTAAGAAACAAAAAAAAAAGACGACTTAAAACACATTCTTTTGGGGCCTTGGTTAACACTACAAGGACTTTAATCATCCGATGGTTCTAGCATACTATAACGTTCCATAGAAGTATGAGTTGTAATTTTTCGCTAATATTCCTTCTACAGCAAGTGTAATAAATGTTCTTTGACGGTATACCCAACAGAAATGAATTTATCATCTGGTAGAAAAATCACAATCATGATGAACAAACACCAGAGTTCTATGACCTATTTAACAAGAAGTATTCAGAATGACGAATAAGAAACAAAAGAACTAGAACCTTGCTCCGAAGTGAAGATGGAAAAAGTGAAGAAAACGACACAAAAAAGAGTGGCTAGAAGCGGTGAAAGCTAATCCAAGAGAAACCAGAATGTATAACGTTAATGTGTCTAAACTCTGAACTAAAATCTAGGTTTTCTCATTGAGTATAAACTTTATTTATTCATTTTTTGACCTGTTAAATGCGTTTACATTATCCGTCATAAATGTCAATCATAACCTAACTTTCTTAAGCTTAAGTGTGACAACGTGCTTGTTGTAACATGGGTGGGTTTTTAATATTTTTGTAGGAATATTTTTATTTCTGTTATTTTCAGATAGCAATAAATTGTATGGCGATAATGCTCTAGGTTGTTATTTAAGTTGAGGACTTTAATTTGGGCGCAGAGAAACACTCAAATATTGGAAACTTTTGTCCATTTGTTGAATAACTAACCTGATACTGGTTTTATTTTATATTTTCCTTGGAAAAGTATAAATCTTGGAAAACATATTAATTATTGTTAAAAGTCTCTTCATAGGGTGATTTTTGTCTGTTACGGAATTGACGGTGTCATATTTTTTGAAAGGGTCGTCACTTTTTTTAATTTGAAGAAAACCCTCTTCCAGTGTGAATTTTTTCTTGTCTCCAGTTTGGGACCCTGAATTAGTGATGTTAAAAAACCATTTTTTTATTAAATTGATCCGTTTTTTGTTTTCAAAGAGATTTTTGTTTTTTGGTGTTTTTTTTTTGTTGTCGTTTAACAGTTTTAATTATAAATAAAGAGTTAAAATATACCTCTATCCGCAAATTAGCTAGTATTTGTTATTTTGTTATTTAATAGTCCAGCTTCCTTAAAAATCTCAAAAAATTTAAATTCTGCGATAGCGCCATCTTTGGATTTAAATTTGAACTATTTGAACGACAGCGAACATAACCTCAAAATTTTGAATACAGTTTTATGGCGCGGTTCTACATTTATGTTTTATGCTGCAGTTGTCAGCATGGAATTGGTAATATTATTCATTAAAGAAATTTATAAAAAATAAATCTAAAATTTCAAAATTTCTGCTCTTTCTTTTCGTCGGCGGAAAGTAGTGTTGTTAGTAAATAGATAGCCGAAATATCTGAGGATATTTATTAAAATAGCGGCAACAGTTTTTAGTTCAAATTTGCCGCCAATGGAGATGGAATTTGGCATTAATAGTATTAAAGAAAACATTGGCACACACTACACAGACAAGACACTGACCCACCACTACCAAACTAATATAATCTTTAATTCCAGAATCCAAACAGTCGCTTTCAATCATTTTGCCTTTGAACACAGGAAAATGACGGTTGAGGTAGGAATGACCTTGATTCCGTTTAAAAATTTGCAAAATACTGTAGTAGCTACACTGTTTAGTGAAAATTTTAGCGAAATGTGACTAGAAAAACTGAAATTTGACACTTCGGGTCAGAGATACTGAATATAAGTACATGTATACATTTAAACCTCCTTGCTTTGGGTTGATAACATAACCACATATAACCTCAAACTGTGTCCGACCAAGACGTGTGAAGTGTAATGCAGTCCTGCTAGTCCTACGGTGACAGAATACGCAATACAATACAATACCTATAATCATTCACCCACATTTAAAAAATTGGTCGAAAGTTTTTTCCTGAAATACACTGATAATTTTTTTTGAGTCACGCCGTATATGCAAATCCAAAAAATATTAATGGAATAATAAATTACAGGTACAGACTCATCATATTTTGTACATTTTAGATAGGATTTATTTGGCAAACTTTTGAGCGGACGTCAACGATTTTTAGGAGGGGATAAGCAAATATGTTTTGATTAAAAATTTATTATGCTCTTTATAACCTTAAAACATTTGCAAATTTCAAAGCATTCAGTTTTGTAGATTCCAAATTAAATGTCAAAATGTTGTTTCCTAATTTTTATTTCTTTTCCAAAAATCTGGACGTTTCGGGTAAAATATCAATTCGGAGTCACAAAGTACAGGTGTAAGCCTATGTTATCTGTTGATGTATTTTTTTACCATTATGTTGGCTTTTATCAGAGATTGTGTTGTAAAGTGGCAGTCCTCGCGTTTAAAAATCGCGCGTACGAAGTGACGGTTGAGGTAAGTTAAAAAAATTAAAATTTGACATTTTCGACCATTTTTCAACCATTTCCGGAAATTATTGAAGACATTTTCTTGTAGATTTTGATATCCAGAAGTCATTTTTGGCTTCTATTATAAGTTTCCCCTCCCACTTAACAGAAGAACATAATTAGCCCCGCCCACCCACCCTGTCTCCTTTTCAGTGATTGATTTTATGCGATCTGAATGAAATAAATTACCCTAAACTGAACAGAAATAAAATTTGTCATTAGAATTAGAAGAGGGCGGGTGGGTGGGGCTAGAACTTGCTAAGATAAGACTGATTTTGTCAAATGCCATACCTCCTGAGAAAATACAGGGTGGGTGGGCGGGGCTAGTATCTGTTAAGATAAAACTGATTTTGGCAAATCATATACCTTACAAAAAAGAGAGGGTGGGTGGGCGGGGTTAGTTCCTGCCAGGATAAAATTGATTTTGGCAAATGAGATAAATCTAGAAAAAAGCTAAACTTACTACACAGTCTGTGACATTGGTTTAAAGTTACAGTGGGGGCCAAAATAAACTAGGACACTTTTCTTTCCCTAGTGTAACTTTCAAATTTATATTGACGTTTAATAAATGTCATTTTCAATGAAATTGACTGAGTCCAGTTTACACCACTAAATTTCTTGAAAAAATCCTTTCAAGAGGTGTCCTACTTAATTTTGGCCCCCACTGTGTTTAGACAGAACATCACTCGCCCCTGAAGCACAAATTTTGTTTTAAACAATAATCTGTATAAGTAGATATAAGTTTAAAAAAAGTAACTGCGCAGACTGTCAATGTTTTTGAAATGATGACGTCGGCAATTTTTTGGAAGGGGATAAACGGATAAATAGTGATCAAAAATGTATCACGCTTACAATAACCTTAAAACTTTTGCAAGATTTCAGAGCATTCGGTTTTGTAATTTTAAAGTTACATTGGAAAATGTTGTTACGCAATTTCGAATTTTTTTCTCAAAATTTTAATGCCCAGGGTAAAACTTAACACGGATTCATAAACTACAAGTGCTGGAGTACGTTAATGTATAAAATTTAAATGACATTTATTATTGTAAATTTTTGAAATGACATCTTCATATTGTTGGTGGGGATGATTAAACAAATTTTGGTGAGTGTTTTCAGAGATTATCCTGTCTAATAAAAATCGACACAGACGACGGACAGAAAGACAGATAGACATACATACGGAAAAGGGAGCCCTATTGCTTTGTATTCCTATTCCTATTACAATAATTCCTTAGCTTCCGCTCAGGAAGTAGAAAGTAAACAAAGCACTTCAGAAGTAGAGGAAATATTTTTGGAAGTGATAATGATCCTAAGAATAAAATTGTGGATAAGTTGAATAAAATAAAAATTCTGATGGCACAGACTAAACTTTTCAATAATGTTGCAATAAGAATTTTATTTTTGGGAAAATCCTAATATAACTTTATTTTTTACCTACAAAATCAAAGAGAATTTGTTTTTGTATTTTTTATTTTATTTATTTTTTTTTTTTTTATTTTATTAATTACGTCCCCCAACAGGCACTGAGGCCCAATTACAGGGGAACGGGACATACACGTTACACCCAGAGCCATGGCGGGAATCGAACCCACGACCCAAGGTGTAGCGGGCAAGCATGATGCTAACTAGCCCACCCCGGGTCCTCATTTTCGAAAATATATTTATTTTTTTCATTAATATTATAATTTATAATAATAAATCAAGCCTCCACGAATATACAATATACTGTTTATTTCAAAATTTTTATCGGTATCGTAATTTTGAAATTATGAAATTGTTAACACTTTAAACTCCAATTGGCTGTCAGAAACACGTGTGTCAGTCGGTGGTGTAATTTTTCGTCTTTTGAATTTGCTTATTTTGCTAATTTTTATAACAAAAACAACGCCGTTATTAAACTTTTCTCTGCCTTTGATTTTGTTTTTAATTATAACCTCAAACTGATATAATTGACATCTAGTTACTTTTTTTAACTACTTAAATCTAAAGCTGGGTTTGCACAATCGTGGCCCACTGCGTCGACAACTATTTGAAAGTGTTATACAACTGAATTCATCATCTACTGACGGTTTACAGATGTACCTACAGATTTTTTTAATGG